CAAATAACGAAAATTCCGACAGAGCTAAATTTTGGTGGAGACCTTGGGTACACAATTAGAAATAAAGTGTCAAAAGTCCCCATCGATCCCATGTGTGCTAAAAATGTTATTCGGGGTCAAAAGTCAAAATTTTGGTTTTATTGGTTTTTTTTCGAAAAAGGTGTGTTTCATCAAAAAAGTGGCCCTGACAAAAATTATAGATCTTAAAATTATCTACAAAAATGGCTCCTATACTTTTTTTTTTAAGAATCACCATTCCTGAGATATCGCGATTCTAATAGTTGAAGGAGTCACATTCTACATGATATGCACACATTTCCACACCACCTGTGAGGTAGTGTACTTTGACGCGTTTTTTCAACGTGGTTTCCCCGGTAGGCCTACTCCACGAACTGTTATGACGGAATTTTCAGGGACAATACTCTTAACTGTATGATGATTATTGATCTTGATATTGGTTATTGACTTTAACTGTAGTTCTGATTTCTTTTGTTATTTTAATCTGATTCATACTATTCAAAGTCGACTTCAACAGTCATGACTTCTTCGATTTCTTCTTCTTCCTTTTCTTGCTGGATGTACATAAATTGTTCAAATGAAGATGAATCAGCTGTCTCTTCATCGAAATCACATGGATCTTCGTCTGTTGTATTCAATTGGACATTTGAGCAAGATTGGCTTTGGCAATTAGTACACGCTGGAGAACACAGTAACCCTACTCTTCTACAGCCACATTTAGCACTACAACCTTTTTTGCAATTGCAAAAAATAGTGTTTAGGAGTTTTTCCAGAGCAGGTGGAAGTAAAGTTTGAATCGGTTCCAAAGTATTATCTGTTAATTTCCAACCCCAGTCTTCTGGGTTCAGTTGATTGCCTAGCCATGTCTGAACTTGATAGTATACTCGATACCAGTATTGATTAGCAGAATCCGATGTTGGAGGAAGACAAGATAGTTGTACTTGTTTCTTGTTTCGTGTATTTTTTACAGAAGTTAAATATCTATATTTATCTATACAATCAATTTTTTTTGGAGCTCCTTAACAGCAAGGAGAAAGCGAATTCCTTTTGTTATTATTGTTTGAGGTGAAGAATCAATTTCTGCAATCAATCAAATCTTTTTTTCCAAATAATTTTAATACTGATGTTTTACTCCTTCTGAACATTGCTGATCTAGTATCGCAGCCGGTTATCGCATGTAAAAATAAGATATGGTTTTGGCATTTTGGATAAGCAGATAAACTTTTTGAAGAATATATTTCTGTTCGCTGTTGAGCCTTTCCAGGTTTTAAAAAGTATATAATTCTATCAATTGGAGTCCTTGCAGTGAGTAGTATTAATAAGTCACCAACTACAATACCTAGTTGTATTTGTTGAATTTAATTGTTCTATTGCTGTTTCAATTATGTATAAGGACATCTGCGTAATTTTGACTAAGGGACTGAGTTTCTTTTGAGTGTATAATCTGAGAATAGTTAGTTTATACATATAAGAGCCACAAATAGGCATTTTTACTTGCATTAAGTGCCTGACTATGTATATACGTTGCATATATGTGCATATCATGTAGAACGTGACTCCTTCAACTTTTAGAATCGCGATATCTCAGGAATGGTGGTTCTTAGAAAATAAAAAAGTATAAGGGCCATTTTTGTAGATAATTTTCAGATCTATAATTTTTGTCTGATCTTTTTTTGACCTTTGACCCCGAATAACTTTTTTAGGACACATGGAATCAGTGGGGGCTTTTGACACTTTATTTCTAATGGTGTACCCAAAGTCTCCTCCAAAATTTAGCTCTGTCGGAATTTTTGTTATTTGACCACTATTTTGTTATTTGACTCATTTTACCGGACTACATTGTCTGTTGCGATTTTATTTGGCAACCATTTTTTCGAAAAATCTAGAAAGCAAAAAAATTTTTTTTTAAATGATGAAAAGTTGCCAATTACTGAACTGCCGATAATAATGGATAAATAATAGAATCTGTTGATAGATCGATTATTTCCAATTTTAGGATCTTACAACGCCAAAAATTGTGATAATGACTAAAAAGTAGACTTCTATTATTCTGCATAAAAAATTCTACCTTCTTGATCTGTTTTATAGAAGCTTATTAAAGTTTATTCGTAACTATTTTAAAAGCTGCTAAAGAATCAGGACATCTGACATGGAATCTGATGATATTTGTTTAACTAAATTTTCAAAATAAAGTTCAAAGTAAAATTTTCTCTAATTTTAGTTTCTTCGTTTGCTTTTCAATTTGTTTAGTTACCGAGAAGTCATAAATAAAAAATATTATATTTACTTCTGTTGATTTGTTCTTCAGTTCTACTGATCAGGCATCGCAATCCCGAATATACAAATTTTGTTAAAGAATTTTATTTACCAATTTATTTTCACACATAATAGTAATGTATAAGTTTTCAAGTGTATTTTGCGTACCTTCAATTTTTTCCATTTCTATTAATTTTTTCCTTTTTATTCGAAGAAAAACGAGAAGAATTGCTTTCTTACAATTTCTCCCATTTTCTCGAAATGTTAAATCTCTCCTGTTAGCCTATAAATTAAACAAGGAAAATATTTTGCAACCGTGTAAAATACAGACGTAAGAATTGCTGCAAGAGAATTAGAGAAGGAAGTGAAAATAATTGTCGCTATTTATTTTTACACACAATTTCCGTTTTAATTAATCGTACTTAACTTAATCACAACTTAAAGAGCATTATACGAATACAAAGTTACTATTTTTTCTACATTTTTACGTCAATCCATTAAAATGTTATTAATAGACGAGGATGAAGATATTAAAATTTTCCGCAGCAAAACGACGATCGCCTAAAAACTGCTAAAAGCGTTTTTTTTTGTATTCAAGAAAAGTCGAGTGTCACAACCCCTATTATTATGAGATATTTAAAAGTCTTTTATCTTTCGAATTTGGTCGTATAGAAGCTGCATTAATTACTAAGAGAAAGTATCAATGTCATAATATGTCAGCGACAAGCTATTACATGATAAAAAAATGTGTCTAAATATGTTCCAATCATTGTTCTTCGAAACGTGATCTTTTTTACAGTATAATATTTGTACATCTATCAAAATAACCAAATTTTCGTAAATTATAATAAACAAAAATGTAATTCATGCTGATTATTCCCGGAAAAGTGAGTAGCACATTAGAAATGATGAGATTGATGAGCTATTGTGGTTGGTATTAACTGATTTCTGATTAAATTATTTAATTAAAAAAAATGTAAATATTGTTTTCATAACAGAAAAAAAATCCACCAACAGAACGAAACTAATAAAACAGAATGTTGAAAGAACTAAGTAAGTAAAAAAGGGAAAGAAATAACATATAACCAGAGTAATACATCTGATTATGAGTTATTAATAAAAATAGACTAAACATTATAGTTATAATATCAAGAATGAAGAAAATGAAGCAATTAAATAAGAATTTTAATTACCTAGTAAAAATAAAATAAAATAGAGAAAAAGAGAAAAATAATTATAACTATGGCTATACAGGGTGTCTCATAATTATTGTCCAATAATTTTCCACTTGATTCTATTGCCAAAAATAAGAATATTTTTTCATATAGACATGCATCGGAAAATGCTTCCTAAGAGAGGTACGCCCCATAAATGAGGCCTCAAAAAATTCATTTTTCTTTAAATATTTTCGAAACGGGTTGAAAGAAAATTATGAATTTTGAAACATGAACGTTCATTAAAAGTCGAAATAGATCATCATAAAATTTTACGAAAATTTTAGATGGGGTGTCTCAATTGGGAGGTCAGCGGCTAAAATGTGCCCCTATTTTTTACTTGTTGAAATTTTCAAATTCAGATGTCAAGATATGATAGACCTTCACTTCCTCCACAAAAAAGTACTCTTTATTTCTTTGGATAAAATGCTCAACGGGTAAAACAACATCACCATTGTTACTGTTTAAAAATTTGGGGTTGTTTTCCCCGAGCCCCCCTTCCCTGATTGGGACGCCCATAACAAACTTTTCTAAGCACTTTTCACGACGTTATTTATTGCAATGTATGATGACATCAAAATTCATAATGGTACATGAATTTTTTTGAATTTTATTCCGGTAATGTAATGAAATGCTTAAATTCGAATTTGAAAATTTCGACAAGCAAAAAAATAGGGGCAAATTTTAGCATACGACCCCACAATTTAGATGCCCCTGACTAAAATTTTTGAAAAAATTTATGTTGATCATCATGTCTAAATTCATAATTTTTGTTTAACCTGTTTCGGAAATATTAAAAAAAAATATTTTTTTGCGGTCGCATTTAGGGGGGCGTAGCTCCCTTAGGAAGCTTTGGTTTTTTTGGTTCATTTTTTCGTGACTAACTAGCGACTTTATGTTTAACTACGTGTAATTTATGCTAAAATGTTCTACACCATAATTGAGCTTGAACATAGGTATTGTTGTTGAGTTGGAGAAAACTCACAGTTGCTAACATTATCAATATTACATAAAAAATTAAATCATCGGCAAACAACAGCTTATTACGTTTAATAATTTCTGTAACGTCATTAATAAATGTAAAAAATAATATGGGTTCAAGATGAGGTTCCCTTGAGGGACACCTGATCCAGCCATATATACAACGATAATTAAAAAAATTGGCACAATATAAAGCATCGTTATATTTTTTAGAATAACGTTCTACGTGTACTCTCATTGCAAAGAATGAATGCTTGCTAAAGTGAATTTCGATAGTCTGTCACAAGCTGGTAACAATAACCAGGACTTTTCATGACTATTGTCATTTTACAAAATTTGATTTTGATTATTAGGTATAAAAGCTAACGTTATTACCTAAGGAGAAAATTGACCAGTTAATCAAACAGATACTTATAAAAGTCATTAATATTTTTCATAAAAACGAATGGCCCAAGGACTGAACCTCGAGGACTATCTTTAAATATTACGCATATAGTCCACTCGGATCTTTTAAGGAAATTTGCCACTCACCTCTTTATTCCTGTTCGGATGCAACGTGGCCTCCCCCTCCTCGTCGCTGAGGGTAGAACAAGTGGAACAATTCGACGACTTCCTGTAGGGCTTGCTCAAGACGTAGTCGCCCTCCAAAGCACTTATGGAGGACCCGCAGTAGTTCAGGTTGCTGCACGAGCTGTGCAGGCTGGAGTCCGGCGATGAGGAGTTCTCCTTCTTGTTGCGGATGTACTCGATGTCCTCCAGGGTCAGTCCCATGATATCGTCCGAATAGTCGCTGACCACTACGGAGGGGGTCCTCCAGTACCGATACCGGGGAGGCGCGTCACCTTCACTGAAACAACTCTGACGGCGGCAGTCACTCGCGTCACCCTCTAAGGGCGCGTCACTCACACAGTCCACACTGAACTTCCTGTCGAGGGGAAGGGGCACGTACTGCGCCTCGATGATGGTCCTGCTGGGCACGTTCGAGTGGTCTATGGAGCCCCTGGGGCTGTAAGGGCTCTTGGCGATGTACCCTGGAAAATGGACAGGTGACGATTTAGATTGGACCAATATTTGGTGATTTAGGGGCAGGTAAAGGAAATATGAATTGTGGAAGGATGAAAATCGTTTGATCAAATGAACGTAGATGACATACACGTCAACGAAAAGGCTCCACCAGAATTAGTTTCGGCCAACTTGATTATAGACATGTTAACCACAGATACTCAAAATAAAATGAGATGCCTTCCTTGATAAACGAAGCTTTTCTTTTAATTAATATTCGTATATTTTGAAGCAACATTTTCTAGGTATAATGAAACTCTTTTTGGATTTATTTTAATGTTTGCTACTAAACATAATAATAAATAACCGAACTCATAATAACAATCGGTTTCAGTTTCATTGTCCTGGAAAAAATCTTTGCCGGTAATAGGGAAATATTCACTTCAAGATTTATTTAGCTTCTTTACCACAAATAATCTAAAGTAAATTTAATGGCCGTCTTTAAATGGACCCCGCACTTTTCTTATGGTAAGTGGCTTTCGGCCAATTTTGAAACTTCACAGGTTGATAGTTCTTAACATGTAGATCAAAAGTCTTAGTTGGCACAAAGCCCCAAATCCCCCCCCCCCCCAAAAAAAAAAACTGCCTCCAAGTAGCGGGGTGTTTACTTGTCGTTTTATGAAAAAAAGTTTCAAATAAAATTGTTTATTTCAATGAAATTTAAAAAATCTATTCTTGTTTTTTTCGAAAAATCAATGTTTTAGCGTTAAAACGCCACCACAGTTTAACACAGAGTAGTGTGTTAAGTTTAACAGCGTTTTACAGTTTGAATATTACTTTTTCGAAAAAAACACATACTAACTTTTTTGTAGATTTTGTCAACATAAATAACTTTTACCTGAAATATTTTTTCATAAAATGACAATGTCCAGGTTCCGGTGCGCCAGGTGTCCGGGGGGTGCTCGCCGACGCCAGATTAGGAATCAGCGACCCGAAAAACCTCCGGGTGTCAAGTCTCGTTGCATTTAAGAGTGAAATTCAGGAGAAGTCTCGGAGATGACGTTCATCATCAATCCTAAGCTCGAGGTCGGCGATAGAACAATTTGAAGTCATATTCAGCGACCTCGAAAACCTCCAGTACCCTGATTTGAGTCCATTCCAGGCATTATTAAGTGACTTTAAAAAATGCATTTTTCCGGATGCATTTTGCACTGCGCAAATGCAATTTGGCCGAAAAACATAATACAAAGTTGATACATTTTGTTCCACATAATTTTAGAATGCGAATGCAAAAAACCCATCTTGATACGACTTGATCGAAAAATTTCGGAGATTTCTGTTTTGTGCTTTATTTCCTCGACTATAACTACAGATTTCAGTAAAATTCCCCACAAACGCTCTTTTTTTGTCACGGAATTCGACAATTTTAGCACTATGAAAAAAAAAGTAGTTTACCGATTTCGTAAAATTGAGTTGCAGATTCGAATTCAGCGTGATAAAATACGTGCAAAAGATATACGTGCAAACATACGTGCAACTATAAAATACAGTAATCTGGAAAATCCGTAGGCTGATTCGTGGGGGGCGGACGTCAAGTGGGGTAGTCTGATAGTAAAAAATGTGGTTGTTTGGGGTCGTTAAATCCCCCCGCTACTTGGAGGCAGTTTTTGAGGATGAAGGGGCGGATTTGGGGCTGATTTGGGGCTTTGTGCCTATTGAGACTTTTGATCTACATGTTAAGAACTATCAACCTGCGAAGTCTCAAAAATATTGGCCGAAAGTCACTTCCCATAAGAAAAGTGCGGGGTCCTTTATTTTTGTCTTTGACCAATGGAAAATCTATCAAAATTGCAATACCATTCGGTGAACTCAACAGAACCGTTTTTTACAAAAAAAACTTATGTTATGGTTTTAAATACCTCAGATAAAGGTAATCATAATGGAAGTTCCAATATGGTTAAAATAACAAGCTATAAGCGTAACAGTTCAGAAAGTGAAGAGGAAAACATTTTATTATTAGACATTAACAAGCTGTTCAAAATAAAAGTTTACGGAAAGAGTTACACTATAAATACGAAATTAATTATTTTGAAAATCATTTTACATTAAGAAAGGAAAATATTGAAGTGTACAGGGTGTTTCGAAAATATGTATTATACATTTAGGGATAGACCAAATAATAAGATTTTATTTTCTTATAGACCATAGACCATAGACCTATCGTATTTTGTTGTTGGCATACAGCGCGTCAAAGAATTTTTTTAAATTAAATTATAGCCATAATATATTGCAATTTGGTACGCTAATTGTTAGCGTTTTTGACCATCAGCTAGCGCTCACGAGCTACGTCTTTACTGAATGATGTTTTACAACATAAGTTTTTTCATTTTACATCAATCAGTACTCTCCTTGAAAAACGTAACTGACTCTCCCATAGTCGCCATCTCCTATTCCTTAATATACAGTTAATTCAAGTTCCTTGTCAAGTTACCTTAGTACTACAACTTTGCTTGTTTAAAAAGTTTACGTCTCAAAAAAGTCATTTTATTCCGTCTTAACCTTTTAAGGGAGTAATTTTGATTGATCCTTATATGAAAATCAAGAAACTTTTCGTAGAAGAGCAACTTTTGTTAAAAATTCCATTTCAATGTCTAGAAGTCGTATTGGGAGACTTAATAGTTATATTAAATCGTTCACGCATGTTCTAAAAAGAAGGGCTCAAGGAAGGATCCCTGAGGAATTCCATCTGAAGCAGAACTGGACATTTTGAAGCTGACACATGATTTTTTTAAAAGTTAGTTAAATAAATGTAGCACTAGTAGGTTCTTATAAGTTAGTACATATAAAAAAATAAAATTCCATATCTTTATTCTACAGATATAGTGTAGCTTTGAAGAAATGAAAAAGTTATATTGCAAATGGTTTACATAAGTATCTAACTGCTGCGGTTATGACTGTGATCTAGAAAATAAAGGTACTTTATTGCAATTCTCTGAAATTTCACATCTTATATAGCTTTAATATAATAATTTAATGTAACAACTTAATTTTGAATATAGTAACAATTTCATCTTCATGAAACTAAAATTTTCATTGCACTTATTCTCAAAATCGTTCACCTAGAATTTTTTTAAATTAATTTCCGGAAACATTGCTTACCCGCTCGCTTTCTGCTTTTCCTCATACTGACAGTCCCTTCAAATAGAAAAATCATACCGAACAAATCGAAAACAACTTCCCTACGGTTCATATCGTGAGCGTAACAGCATTTCAGCACCATGTTCAATGTTCATAAATATTTTCAGTACTTACATAACTATTGTGACGCACACTGTATATACTTTAATCCAACTTAAAGGAAAACGTGCTTGTTTCCGTTGCACTAGGAAATCCGAGATTATCACAGTTTTAGACGTCTTAGATCAGACTGTGGCAGAATTGTTATTATTTCATTTAAAGCTCGCCAATTGCCAGCTATCGCGTTAATAAATACATAAGCAGGAGCTGCTGGTTATATACGAGTATCAAGGTTTTCAAGAAAAGCGCAACGTTTGGGGCGAGCGCCTTTTCTATTAAATCACTTATTTTAAAATTAATATCACATGGGCAAAAAATTTAAAATTAAAATTGTTATACCTGTATTTAAAATTTATTTTTTTCCTAGCAATTTTACATGCATATTTACAAACCGTATTTATTATATTTGCATTATCAAGGCTGTGTTTGTTTATTTTCCGATTTCTATTTTACTACATTAGGAAGGTACAAATGCTACTAGCTTTTTCGAATCATGGTTGTTAAATAAATCATAAACATATATGACAAATTAACATATGTATTTCACATCAATAAATTGTTAATTTGTAATAAAATACGTTAGATATGTGCCATATTTAGACAGCAGTAAAAAATGTAACAACATTAATCAGATGGTTAGACTAAAAGATCTAACATCATTGAATATATCTTCTAAAATGTTCTGCTCCGCATCATAGATGGTACTTTATACTATGGAGAGTTTGCATCAAATAATTATGTAACGTTTTATGACTGAATACTATACCACAATGAAAGTTAATGCTAACTGTACAAACAATTTTGCTAATAACTAATTTCATAAATTTGTATTTGATTTTATAAAATTTTATTCGAATTGTAAGTATGCCATTGTTATTACATAATATTTCTTATTTAAGTAACTCCTTTCCGTCTCCTTATTAGTAAATAAAAGGAGGGTAGTGGTATGAGATTTTACTTGCACTTCCTATTAATAGATGGCGGAATTAAAACAGTTTAGTACGTTACGACTGTCCGCTAAATTCGTTTTTAAATGACAATACAAATATAAAGAAGTACAAATCATGTTTTTTATCATATGATATCGTTTTATGGTAATATCTAAACAGGTGGCGCAAACACACTCTTAAAAATACATGAAACTTGCATTCAAATGTTTTATAAAAAATGTTCATTAATTTTAAAAATTAAAAAGTACCAATGCAATTAAAATAGGCTTACAATGAAACACAATTCGTATTTGTTAGGTATTTCCAGACCATAGAGAACCAAGCAACAAAAATTTGGTATGCACCATAGAATAATAATACCACCGTATACAAAGTAAAACGTCTGTATATAGAAATTGAACTGTACTCGCTATAGGAGTAAGTGAAGTAGTAATAAAGACATACATAATATTTACCATGCAGATATAAAGCGTCAACTTTACATCCAAATAAAAATTGTTTATCTAGCCTTAACAGTGTGTCTCAAAATGTTTGGCCTGTGAGTTTTTGCTTCAATGCATATTCCACTATGTTACAGATTTATATTTTGAACTATCTAATTTCTAAACTATTTAATTATATATTATGATACATTGTCAATTTGTTGTCATTGTCTTGGATTAGGTGTAACTCTTCTGGTTGCATAGAGTAATTGAATTATTATTTGTTATTTTATACTTAACAATGTTGAAAATTAGATTTATTTAAAAATTGCATGTCACACCATCTATCAATATACAGGG